AAATATCGACTCGCAATATTTTAGCTGACATTTAGAGTTTCCATGGTAGAATGTACTCCTATTTTTGCTGACATTTAGTATGTCCCTAGTACAATGTACTAAAACCTTCCATGGTACAGATATTTACAGTCTAGGGGCTAAGAACACTTGGAATATACCTCGGTCTTCTGATTTAGATTGGTGTGACTATAACCTCACCAAAATTTACAGTACACCATCAAAAAAGGCACATTCAGTACCTATAGTTACTAACTTCAGATTAGTATCTGCAACCAAACATACCCCCTCCTCAGTGCTTATGGTGGAGACTGAACTGAACTACCCATTTCCATAGATGCGTCTACCCTTTAAACCCATTAAGAGGCGCTAGAATGGTGGCCAACCAGCTACGCCATGTGGCGCATGCTGGTTGGTCATGGTGAGAAAGTTTTTTTTAGAGATTTTTTAAATGGTAGGGAGAATTTTTTTCGAGAAAAGTTTTTCTACGCCTTTTCTTTTCCCTTTTAAGATGGTTGTGATATCCACGTGTTGTGATGATATTTTAAAAAAAAAATTGACATGATGGTGAGGTGCGCATAGCTTTCTCTCAAGCGGCTCGCAATGGCGGGCCCCAACCACTAGTATTCTTAAAAGGGGACATCAATGCCTCATTGATATTCTATTCTAGCAATGTGATGCAGACCCATACAAGAACTCAAAATGTTGTATTCTAGCAATGTGAGTGAACATGAAGGAACTGCAATGGCCACTAGCGAGTAGTTGAAAGCACAACTGGCAATCAAAGCAATTATCCTTCAAGGTCATACTGAATGGAGCGACCATATTACTTGTTCCAAATTATCGTACCTCAAACACCTAGTAAATTCTAATGGCAGCTCAATGAGACAAAGTTATGGTACCCACGCAATGAAGCCCTTGGTTAAAATGAATTTTTAAAATAGTTATTTGTCGGATATTCCTAGCTCCATTAAGCTCCAAAGTTGCAAATGGAAGCAAGTACGGAAAATAGGAAGGAAACTAAACACAAGCCATCGAGTAAATTTAAATATTTTGTCTGTAAGGCAAATGACAGAAATATAACCATCAGTGAGTCCCACACAATAAATGGTTTTGTTGTGTAGTGGTTAGCACTCCAGACTTTGAATCTGACAACCTGAGTCCTATTTTTTGGCTGGCATTTTAGGGTTTCCATGCTACAATGAACTCACATTTTTTATGACATTTTACTATTCAGGAAAAATATCGACTCACGCTCTTTTAGCTGACATTTAGTGTTTCCAGGGTAGAATGCACTCCTATTTTTGTCGACATTCAGTATTTGCCTGGTACAATGTATAGAGACCTACCATGGTATTACTAATACTCACAGTCTAGAGGCTAATAACACTTGAAACATACCTCTGTCTTCTGATTTACATTGGTGTGAATATAAACTTACCAAAATAAAATAAAATAAGGTATCATTGGATATTCCTTGCTCCATTTAACTGCAAGGTGGCAAACGCAAGCAAGTCCGAAAGAACAGAAAGGAAATTTAACAGGAACCATCGAGTAAAGGAAAATATTTTGTCTGTAAGCCAAATGACAGAAATATAACCATTAGTGGGTCACATTCAACAAATGGTTTCGTAGTGTAGTGGTTAGCACTCCAGACTTTGAATCTGGCGACCTGGGTTCGAATCCCGGCAAGACCTACTTTTTTAGCTTGCAATATAGTATATTTGCATAGAATGTGCTCACAATTTTTTATGACATACTAGTGTTCGGGAAAATATCGACTCCCAATCTTTTAGCTGACATTTAGTGTTTCCGGGGTAGAATGTGCCTCCTATTTTTGCTAACATTTAGTATGTCCCTAGTACAATGTACCCAGATGCTCCATGGTACAGATACTCATAGTCTAGAGGCTAAGAACACTTGAAACATACCTCGGTCTTCTGATTTACATTCATGTGACTGTAACCTCGCCAAAAAATTACAGTACACCATAAAAAAGGGCACATTTAGTACCTATAGTTACTAACTTCAGATTAGTAGCTGCAACAAATGTACAAACTACCTATTTCCATAGATGTGTATACCCTTGTTTTTTAAAACGGACATCAACGTCTCATCTACCCGCAAAAGAAGCTCATTAATATTCTATTCTAGCAATGTGATGCAGACCCGTGCAATAACTAAAATCTTGTATTCTAGCAATGTGAGTGAAAATGAAGATGCAACTGCAATGGCTGCTACCGAGTGGTTGACAGCACAGCTGGCCCATCAAAACAATTATCCTTCAAGGTCATAATGAATGGACCGACCACGTTACTTTTTCCAAATTATCGTACATCAAACACCTAGAAAACCCTTATAGCAACCCAAAGAGACAAAAGACCGTACTCATGCAATGGAGCCCTTGGCTAAAATGAATTGGAAAAAAAAAACAAGTCATTCATCAGATATGCCTTGCTCCATTTTGCTGCCAAGTGGCAACCGGAAGCAAGTCCAAAAAGGCAGAGGAAATTTAACATGAAGCGTCGCCTAAAGACAATATTTTGTCTGTAAGCCAAATGACACAAATATAACAATTGGTGAATCACACTCAACAAATGGTTTCGTAGTGTAGTGGTTAGCACTCCAGACTTTGAATCTGGCGACCTGGGTTCAAATCCCGGCGAGACCTACTTTTTTAGCTGGCAATTTAGTTTTCCATGGTACAATATACTCACATTTTTTGTGGCATTTAGTATTTGAGAAAAATATTGACTTGCAACTTTGTAGCTGACATTTAGTGTTTCCAGGGTAGAATGTACTCATATTTTTGCTGATATTTTAATATTTCCCTGGTACAATGTACCCAGACCATCCATGGTACAGATACTCAGACTAGAGGCTAATAACACTTGAAACATATCTCTGCCTTCTGATTTACATTGGTGTGACTATAACTTCGCCAAAATTTAGAGTACACTATCAAGAAAGGGACATTACCTATACTTGCTAACTTCAGATTAGACGCTGCAACTAAATGTACCACTTCCCGACTGCTTACGGTAGAGACTGAACTGAACTACTTGTTTCAATAGATGCTTATACCCTTGTTCTTAAAATGGGACATCAATGACTCATTAATATTCTGTTCTAGCAATGTGATGCAGAAACGTACAAAAACTCAAAATCTTGTATTCTAGCAAATGTGCATGGAGATGACGAAGAAACTGCATGGCCAATAACGAGTGATCGAAAGCCAAGATGAACAATCAAAACAATTAGCCTTCAAGGTCATATTGAATGCTGACCACATTACTTGTAATGTAAGGATAAAGGGAAATGTCTTCTCTATGTTCTCAATGTATCATTGTTCCACAAACAGGTTTACTGCAACAAAGTTTGGGCTACAACTTAGTTGGTAAGTCGGCATTACCTCTGTTGTGAAATTGTCGAAGGGGACGAACAAGTTGAACACAGATTTAATCCTAGGATAGTCAGAGAGCGGTAAGATGAGATATGATGGGGGTTAGGCGATGAGCTCCATGGAAGGGTGAGGGAGGGGGGGTACACTACAGACCATAGAAGTGAGATATCGCCATATCAGAGACATGTAAGAAGGGAGACCCGACAACGACAAGGATGGTGCTAATAGTAACAATGCTTTTGCCATGTGCTTATTTTTTAAGGTGCTATAGAACAAGTTGTGGAAAATCCACCACTGGCTAATCATGTTTCAGCTTTATACATTTGTTATCCAATTTTTGTCCCAATGCATCTCCTCTCATATGTTGTGTGTTCTTATGTGCATAATATATCCTTGAAGCGTAATGAAGAACAAGAGAAAGAACACCAAACAAACACTAAACACCTAGTAAATCCTAATAGCAGCTCAATGAGACAAAATTATCATACCCATGCAATTGAGCCTTTGGCTAAAATGAATTGAAAAATAAAATAAAATAAAATATTTGTCGGATATTACTTGCTACATGTAGCTGCCAAGTGGCAAATGGAAGTAAATCCAAAAAAGAGAAAGAAATTTAACAGGAACCATCAAGTAAAGGAACATATTTTGGCTGTAAGCCAAATGACAGAAATATAACCATCAGTGTACCACACTCAACAAATGGTTTCGTAGTGTAGTGGTTAGCACTCCAGACTTTGAATCTGGCGACCTGGGTTCGAATCCCGGCGAGACCTACTTTTTTAGCTGACATTTTAGTATTCCCATGGTACAATGTACTCGCAATTTTTTCAGGCTTTTAGTATTCAGGATATATCTACTCGTGATTTTTCAGCTGACATTTAGTGATTCTAGGGTAGAATGTACTCCTATTGTTGCTGATCAGTATTTCCTTGGTAAAATATATGCAATTGTACTCCAATTGTAATACCGTGTTCTTAAAACAAGACATGATTGCCTCAGTAATATTCAATTCTAGGCTCTAGCAATGTGATGCGCCGACCCGTGCAAGAACTCAAAAGATTGTATTCTAGCAATGTTAGTGAACATGAAGAAGGAACTGCAAAGGCCACTATCGAGTGGTTTAAATCCCAGCTGGGCAATCAAAACAGTTAGCCTTCAAGGCCATACAGAATGGACCTCCCATGTCATTTGTTTCAAATTGTACTGATAAAGTGAAAGGTCTTCTCTATGTTCTCTTTGTATTATCATTGGCAAAAGGTTTACTGCAATAAAGTTTCGGCTACAACTTATTAATGTGGCCATCTACTGACTATGGTCATGCTTGTGACAGCAGCTCGCAATCCTGAGTTGGAAAGGCAATGCTAGTGTACTGAGTTACATCACAGGCCACGAAGATGGTCTGTTGGTCACAATTTAGGTGCAATGCAATTCATAAGTGCAAAGGAAAGGATTTCTCTCTTAAGGAGTACACACCTATTCCTCAACAACTGGGTAAATAGTAACCCCATGGCAAATGATAAGACAAAAAACTATTTGAAGTGACCAAGTAAACCAAATTTGTCAACAAAATTAAATGCCAGAAAATATGAGAAAAGATATATGTATGTACCTCGCATAGAAGAGTGAGAATTAGGTAGTTGATTGTCACATTCCGATACAGAGCTAGCGTAAAGCAAATAAGCAGAATAAGGTGATGCATCAGGATCCCAGGAATCCATCCACTGTACAGCCGGTAGCGGAGCATATCCAATTGGTCATAAGCAAAGTAGCCACATGAAAAGCACAGAGCAGAATATGCTCCAATCCAACTGCTACCAACTAATTCTTCATGCTGAAACATGTTCTCAAGGCCCTTGGTACGCCATTGGCACAATAGAACAAAGATAACTGCAAATCGAGATAGGAGTGAGATAGAGTCGATCAACAAGCCTAAGAATTCAATAACATATGGCAGCATCGATGGAACAAATTAAAGAGATAAATATTTACCAAAAAAAAGACATAGTAAGCTTTCAAGAATATGCATTACACCTATGAGCCATCCATTTAAAAGAAGGATCAACAGTTTTACATACTGCAGAGGGAATGCTCTACAACTTCCTAACTATCTTGAGAGAAACAGCAGCACCACTAAATCTAATGGCACATATCCGACCATCCAGGACATAAAATTTCCATTTCTGTCACTTTTTTGCTTAGGTATTGTCAATTATGTGCGATGGATTTACTGGCAATAAGTACGTGCAAAGAAGTGGTACACGATAAGTAATGTTTGAGAAAGGTAGTGTTCTAAAAATCAGCCGCCCAGTGCACCTAGAGAGCCCCCAGGCACTAGGTGACACCCTTCCCGCTAGCCAATTTATCCCTCCTAGGCCTACCTAATTGGCGTTTAGGCACTAGGTGCTGATTTTCCACCCAACTAGGAGACAAAATGGAGATATTTGGTGCCTAACTAGTGAACTCTTCTAAACACACTTTATACCATCACCATTCTTTTTAAGGGTTGACAATTTTGTATGAAAACCATGAGAGTATTTGCACGCAAGGCATATGCATTGCTGCCAGCCTGCCACATTTACTTGGAAGTTGGAACCATACAACCTCGGAACCTCTAGAAGCCGAACATACTATAAACAGCAAGGTAGCAAGCAATATGGGCTTTGAGAAATCCTGCACAATTTCAACTAATCAAAGCTCAAATGGAGACAATTCTCGACAGCACAAGGTAGCAGGACCGGTAACTAACAAGACTAAAACTCTTTAAGGAGTACATAGCTCATGCTGCTCCCTTACATCCAGGGCCCAACAAATTGCATCAAAGCACCAACAGGTTCACCGGCTGATTAATCTGCCGCGCGCTCTCTATCCCCAACTTCGCGCAACGCTGGAAGTCAACTAGGCATACGTTTTCTTCTACTAGGCGATATACCCAAAGCGCGTGTACGGGAAAAGCGACGGGACGAAATGCGAGGGTTCGGGGAGGGGGGGAGGGAGAGAGAGGGAGGGGGCGGACCTGAGGCGGAGGTGAGGGAGGAGTGGAGCAGCGAGACGGCGGTGTTGACGAAGAGCGGGTCGCGGGAGACCGCGGCGCGGACGGCCGTGTTGGCGGCCTGGAAGAAGGCGAAGCCGGCGGCCACGGCGGCCAGCTCGCGGCGTCCCCGCGCGCCGATCTCGAACCCCACCGACACGGCCCACAGCACCAGCGTCGCCGCGAAGAAGGCGCTCGTGTCGCCCGCGCCGGCGCGGCGGGGCGGCGGCATGGGGGTGTCGTGGCGAGCCGAGAGCCGCACCCGTCCACACGCTAGCCGGCTAGCCCCCTCTCCCCTCTTCGTCGGCCGCTTGGATTGGACCGCTCGCTTGTTGCTTTCCGGGCCTAGAACCCGACATGCGGGCCCCACCCCGAGGAGAGAGAGAGAGAACCGATCCTTCGAAATTTGAAACGAAAATAATTCGATCTAGAGTATCTAGAGTAGAATAGAAAGAGGAAAAGAAATGCCCCGGGCGTAACGTCATCCATCTCGCTCGCTGGGCCGTCCCCCGTCGGCTCGATCCCCACAGCCCAACCACCACCAAGCCGGCCGGCCGCCGCGAGCGGGGGACTGATTCCCCTCCCCCATGGCGTCGAAGCAGATGGAGGAGATCCAGCGGAAGCTGGCGGTGCTGGCCTACCCGCGCGCCAGCGCGCCCGCGCAGTCCCTCCTCTTCGCCGGCGTCGAGCGCTACCGCCTCCTCGAGTGGCTCTTCTTCCGGTACGTGCGCGGCCGCCCGCCCCCCGCATTTCCGCCCCGCCCGCCCTCCGCCGTGTGTTCCGGGACGGGTTCTGGGGTTCGTAGGGTTTCCCAATTGAGGGTTTCGTTTGCTGACCTGCTGCTGCTGCTGTGGTCCGGAGGCTGCTGGGCGACAGATCGCCGTTCACCCAGCAGAACTGGCAGGTGGACAGCCTCGACCGCGACGAGGAGAACAGCAGGATCCAGCGTAAGGTTTCTGGCCCACTCGTTTCGCCGCGCTGAATTGGGGATGCTTGCTTGTGCCTGCTGCTGATGGTTGGCGTTCTGCAGACTTGGCGGAGATCGCGAATTTCCTCGGTATCACGCCTTCGGTCGACACTGAGGCGATTCAGGTGAGAGGAATGCAGCTCTTTGTTCTATGAGGCTTACATTTGTTGAGTATTAGCTTTTGTTACACGCAGATCTCTGGTGTGTGGTCAGAATTGCAAACTCAGATTCAGCGAGTGTCATCTTTTGTGGTGTTGCAGGGCAGAGGCAGCTACGACGAGCGGGTGGAGTTCCTCCGTCTAATTGTTGACTTGGTGGAAGCTAGCTGCTATGCCGACAATCCAGAGTGGAGGTTAGTTTACACTTTACTGTATGTGGTATACTTTTGCTATGCTGATTATACAAAAGCATTAGTCACTGATTACCGGTAGCTATTTCAGTTAAACATTTTCCAGCACTGTAAACAGAAAGGAATATTTGATGCAAAATGCACTTCAATATACCGAAAGTATTAGATGCTGTTTTAACCTCAGTATTAGGGCATCTGATACATAAATTATCTGACAAATTGCTCCCTGGTAGTGTTGATGAGCAGTTGGCAAAGGATGTACAACTTGTAGATTCCATTGCTGAGAAACAGGCGCAAATTTTTTCGGAGGAGTGCAAGCTTTTTCCTGCAGATGTTCAAATACAATCGATTTATCCCCTGTAAGTGCACCCATGATATTCTTGTCAATTGTATTATTTAGAAAGCGCAGATTTATAGCACCCATATTTCCTTAAATGGTATGAATCTATGTTGCCGTCTTGTGACCCCCAGTTGACTAGCAATTTCAAGAACCAACACTATTTCACTGAGTTAAATTATCGTTTTGCAGGCCTGATATAGCAGAACTAGAGTTGAAGCTCTCTGAGTATACCAAAAAGATGTCAAATCTGCAACAGATGGTGCAGGAGCTAGCCTCAAAGGTATATAAACTGGATCCTACTTCCGTATTTGTACAGTTGTGATCATATATTTAAAATCAATTTATACACTTTTATCTGAAATTCCCATGCATATCATGTTAGTTAGTTTGCAGTATGCTATTTGCACTAACAGTGCTCTCTGCTGCCCAGTATGACTATAATCCGAATGAAGACTATGCCGAGACAGAGTTGAAGTTGAGGGAACATTTGCAATCTTTTCTCGAAACAGTAAAATCCTTCAATATGATATACACTAAGGTGAATATCTTATGCATTGTTATGTAATTTTCTCCCTGTATCTCCTCTTTATATTCCAGGCAAGCAACCTTGACATGAATATCATTTGTACTTCTGATTATCATTTTCCATGTGTTTTGAGTTGTTAGATGATAGAAGTTATTTGTCATTGTAGGAAATTCATCCTTGGACCCACATGATGGAGGTGCCACAGTTGCATGGGTTTGGTCCAGCTGCTAACCGCTTGTTAGAGGCTTATAACACACTTCTAAAGGTACTACCTAAATTTTTTATTCGTTTATTGCTCACTTTGTTGCTCATTTGAATTTCTTGTCTATCTCTGACCTACATGTCATGATCTGGTTATTTGAACTTTTGATGGGATGAAAATAGTAAAAGTTCATTTGTCAATAGTCACTCAGTATGTCATAATACTGTCATAGTTTTATGACATCTCTTTCAAGTTTCGGTGAACTTTTTAATTCTTATAGGCAATTTATTGTCCTGAGGACAGATGTTTGTTTTTTCCCTGTCAAAAACTCAAAATTAGTCTCCATACTAAACCTTATTGGTGTTATTTTTGAAATACTGATGGCCGGCAGTATTATCTTGTGAACTCTAGTCAGCAGGAATTAAACACCCTGCTATAAATTCTAAAACAAATCTGGCTAGCTTCATATATCTAAGCCTGGAAGTTTCTGTTTAGTAAGTGGTCCTTGTAGTCTGCTCTATGAAATGTATCTCCAAAAAAGTACTACCAATTTGAACTAAAATAATTGTCACTTATTTCCGGACAGAGGGAGTAGTATAAGATAACATGGTATAGCTTTATGTAGAATTACACTGTGTCATCTATTTACAATAATACCACCTCATCTTTCAAACTTTAACAGCTCTTGTGGTAATTCATGTCCTTTCAAGTAGTTAGCATGCTCTGGCTAAGTGCTCACAGCATCAACCATACTCATACAAAACATGCTTTGACTTGAGTGTTTGTTTGTGATGTGCAGTTCCTTGGAAATCTGAGGAGCCTGCGAGATTCATATACAGCAATGGCAGCTGGGTCACTTTCAAATTCAAGCGAGCCCTCATCCGTCACAAAAATCATTTCAGACTGTGAATCCGCGCTCACGTTCTTAAACAACAGCCTTGCCATCCTTTCAACTTCCGTGGCACGGGAGCAGGGTGAAACACTCTGATTGTATGGCCATCTTATACCAAGATTCAACTCTGCTACACGTGTGTAAGCTTGTAGTGTTTCAGTTGTTTGCCTTTTGGTTTCAGTTGAGGCGCGGAGTAAAGCTTGTGTTCCCATTGGGTCGTGTATTTGTGTGTGGTTGTTTGATTCTTTTGCAGTTGTAACTTGTGACGTTCAATGAACAGTTCTTATAAATTTGATAGCATAGCACTAGTGAAATGTGTTTCTACATTCATAGCGAAACTGATTGTGATGGCTTATGGATTATGTCTCTGCGCCTCATTGGTGCATTCATCGACTGCCTGGCATATTATCCAATACCATGTCGATCAAGATTGGCTTTGTCTTATAAAAGTTTATAGAGGGAGTATTTGGGTTATATTAATTATGGAAAAGGAATACAATGGAAACATTCAAAAAATATCCTATGAAAACGTAGAAATGCATCTAAATCTGAGAAAATCCTTTTGAACTTACTTCGTCGTTGTTTGTTTGCCTGTCTGTCGCACCACCAAAGAGAACAAAGGTGAGAAGAGCAACAACTTGTTGCCTACCATACCCCTCATTGTTGTCGTAATAGCCACTCGTCGCGTGTGTTGGGATGGGGAGGAGGGGATCCAAATTGGCAGGGGACATGCCCTGATATGCGTCGACGGGAACCATTGACCTGATTTGCGATCACCCTCGGGTGGGAATAGTCTACACACAGGACGATGTCATCGGCAACAAGCCATCTGAGCGGTGCAACACCACCAGCTCATCAGTGTCCTTGACTACGCAAATGATGGAGCATGTTGTCGACAATGACACTAACCCACCAGCTCATCAATGTCCTCGACTATGCAACACAACCACTACCATCTGAGCGGCGCCACCATGACACCATACTCTAACCTCACGCAAAATCGGGGTTCCCACCACCAACCCGCCGATGGAGCAACAAATGGAGGGTGGGGAGACCAGGTCTGGGTCGGGGCCTTATCGCGAGAGAGGAGAGGTTGAGAGGCGCCGGCTCATTTGTATATGCACAGAGGGTCGAAGGTCGGCCCTATTGTTGGTGGTACACTTCTAACGTGTTTGATAACTATTGGGGAGGAGAATAGAAGCTTAGAGGAGGAAGTTGTATTGATGTTAAATATGGGATGTGTCATTTTATTCCTAATCCTTCGTTTGCTATAGTTAGGCGGATTTCAGTAATAATGACATACAATTATGGGGGCTAATAGTATTTGTGGTTGTATGGATATGTTTTAGCAAATGAAACCAACGTGATTGTAAACACACGTGCGCGCACAACACACACACACACACACACACAATTTAATAAGGATAGAAGAGGATAATGTGTTTCAATTTGCATGTTATGTTTGCATATCATTGAGTTGATAGGAACATCATACCATTTACGAAACTACTATGCAAACGACAAACGCTGGCCGATTTAGAGACGACACTACATCCAACGGATGTGCTACAGTGTATCCTATGCATGGATGGTTTGATTGACTGTATCGTCCCAAAATCGGCTATGCAGCATCGTCTGTGTAGCAGCACTCTACCATTTATAGGGCTTGTGCGTGGAACAAGGGTGTGATTCATAGCAAAAAGTAAAAAAGAAACACTAGATCTGTGATTTCGCCATGCCAGAGTTCTTCGTATTGCTTGCTACTCTTGGGATTTTGAGGATCCCTAGT